CGTGTGCACGCGCCCACAAGCGTGTGATAATTACTCGAATGTTGCAGCTTCTCGTACGCGGCACGTGGCTGAAAACAGCAAACAGCAAACGGCGAATAGGACTCGGGGCAGGCGCTACAAGTATCCATATCCGTTTCGGGTTTCGTTCGCATAATTGCGGCTAGCGTTTAGCCAGATATCAGTACTAATATTTTGTGCAAATACAAATAAAGCCCTCAGGCCTTGCAGCTCTGTGTACCGTGCCAGGGTAAATATGTTTTTTTCCAGCTGAAGTGGTACTCGAGCTAAGGACTCGCGTCTCGCTGCTCTCAGTCGCTTTCAGGTGAGTGCGCGGGCCTTTTTGTTGTTAATTGCATTAATGTGCGTTATTTATAATCAAGTACGAGAGCCTGAAGAACTGTGCGAACTTTTTGCCCTACTTTGGACTGTTTATGCCGCAGGCGAGCAGCCAAACAGCCAAACATGCGGATGGGCAATAATGCTAAAAGTGCCAAACAGAGACTCGTAAATTGCAGCCCCACTCTCAGACCATTTGGCGCGTCGCCATTTTGGGCAGCCAACGCAGGGCGTCGGAGCCAAATACGAATATCCAATCCAATTCCCTGCTGCTAGCAGTTGGCTAAAGACCCCGCCTAATAGCAGTTACTGACGACGCCGCATTGGCCCCCGGGGACCAGACAATTTCAATAAATATTTCACTGCATTAGCTGCCGACGCTGGCGTGTCAATGGTCAAGGGAAGGGCAGAGCTAGGCAGGGGCAACATGAAAGCCGGCGTGGTGCGGCCTAAGCAAATCCGAACGCAAATTGCCTTTTTGCTCCTGGCCAGCAATAACGTGCATTAAATGTTTGGCCATTATCATTTTAGGCATTTGCGAGCATATTTTCCATTAGCTGCTGACTTTGCTTGCCAGTGCTTTGGCTAGGCGTTCGGCCTCTTAGCACCGCCCCACTACTATCTCCGGAGCTTCTATTGAGCTACAAATCGACAGCAATTCCAATGACAATGCATCTACAGCTGAACAATTGCCATACTTGCTAGCTCGAGCCAACTCTTTGCTTCGAGATATAAGAAAGCCAGAATAGTTGCTCCCTTAGACGTGACAGGGTAAAACAACAAAGCATCACCTTGATTGCCTTGTTAGTTACTACGGCTGCTGCTGCTGTTGCTGCTGCTCTCTGTGCGGTTGCTATTTCTAACTAACACCAACCGCAGACCAGACTGGGCTAAAGCTTCCAAGCGCTTTTCTTCATTTTCTGACAATAAATTTTCATTTTCTTGGTAAATGGTCCGTTGTTGTTGCTGTCGCTGTTGTTCTTCGTGCTGCACTTACTCCTTGATGGCTGCGTTGCTCCGGTGGCTGGTGTTGTCGATTGCCTCTTTGCACATATGCCCGCATTTTTGCACCACAACAATTTGGCAGGCACCGCTCATTGTCTTTGCCGCAGTCAGAGCCACAGTCGCAGCCGCATTGCAATTGCAATTGCTCACAAGTTATCCCAAGTGGAAATTTTTCCTGTTGTTCTTCGGTGAGCGATTGTTGTTGTTGCTGTTAAGTTAGGGCTGGCAAATCGCAATAAAACAAAAGTGACTGTCAAGTGAATACGCTTATTCCCGCAACCATCTACATATCCAGCTCACAAAATAACAAGGACATGCTGTCATAATACGCAATTCTTCATGTTCGCTCTTCTGCGTAACTCGGACTGATTAAAATGGCTATTCACAGGCATATGATTGATGCATAGACTAAATGTAATCGTTGATATTCTGACTGATTTGTTTAACATGGTACAACGAGTTCATATCAAACGAGCATCATAATAACATTCAATTAACGCGGATGTCGTAAGCCTATCCTCATGATAGTACATATAAATGCTGAAAAAGCTTATCAATTTATTTATTTGTAATCGTAGGGCTTGACTAATACATATATATCTTATATATGTTGCAAAGGACTTTGTGTATAATAAAACTATATCTTGTTAGTATACATAGTTGTATGGTATATTATAGAAGGTTTTCATGGACTTATGGTAACACATATATGAATGTCAAGCCCAGTTGAATTTGATTACCAGCAAATCTTTCTTGAATGCACGATATTTTATATATGAACAGCAGCCCACTTGAAAAACATGGCTTCTGCTTTCAAGCTGAAGAAGAACAATTTTTTTTATCAGATCTGTCAAGCTCTGGCAAGTAATTATGGCTAAATAATAAGTTTGTCATCTTAAGAGATGGTCTTTAGCCCCAAGTATGTATCCAATTAAAATGACGAATCAATAGAAAAGAAAAACAGTAGCAACTCACCTGTCAAACTCAATGTTTCGAGCTGCTGTTGATGATGCAGTCTTTTATCTGTTTGCCACGCCCCTAATTGTCATTTATATATATGGCAAACTCCCAGTCTCTACATTCAATATTATTTCGTCTAAAATATTAGCTTTTTTTTACAAAAGATATAGAATTGGCCGACTTGCCGCGCCTCTAGAGGCTGAGTATAAAAACTTAGCTCTAGTTGTATGCCGCTCTATAAATCCTATGCGTATAAGATTCCAGACCGGAACAACCTTTGTCACGCTTATTTAATGCGCTAATAAACATAATTTGAGTTAAACAATTTTATTCAATGCTCTCATAAGTCATAGGTAAAAAAATGAAATAAAAACACGCAAATTTGGGCACTTTGAAAATACAAACAACTTGGCCAACAGGGCTGACTTATGGCGGGGCATGTTGTTAACTGTGGTAACACGCACGCACGCAGGCAGTTAATTAAGGGTGTGAACTGGTTGAGTTATGCGTGGAGTAGTCGGAGCCAACGTATCAACCCCACAACGCAACGTATCATGAAGGACACAAAGGACGCGCCGGACAGCAAAATGGGCAGTAAATAATTCATTAGCGGCTTTTAACAATAAATTTTTGTGGGACAGCCATTGACTAACTGACCAGCAGAGTGAGCAACTGAGAGAATGAAAGTTGTTTTCCTTTTTCAGGGCACTCATTGTAATGAAGTGGCTCGTTTGCTGGAGTCAGCAGCAACAGCTAATTAGTCGGCGGTTTGAACTTTGAACTGCACTTCATTAGAGCTGGAATTCGGCAGGCCATTTTAAATGCTGCCACGTTGAGGATAGCACCAGACGAGCCACATAGCCATCGAACCAATGCACCACCTGCACATGTTTTGGCACATTTATGTAGCGGCTGCCAAATTAAAATGCAATAATTCTTCATTTGCGTATAAGAGACTGCGCAAAAAATAAGAAAAAGCAAAGGAATTAGGCGCAGACGTGAACGAGCCAAAAGGCAAAGGCCGGAAACGTGCTATAATTGAAAAATGTGGTAACAAGACTCTACGTGGCGGGCCTAATGAATTCCCCGCTTTTTGCTTGACTCCGTCACGACACGCGATCCTGAAGAAGTTGTTGATGTTTTGCCACTCGCAGAGGGTGATAAATGCTCATCAGGCTTTAAGGCAGCGCTGGCAATTAACTTTTACAATGTTGCTGAAACGTAATCAAGTTGTCAGCAGCGTGAGTCGTGAGTCGTCGCAAAAGATACTCCTAATTACGCAAAGTTTCAGGCGAAATTCCCAGGCCAGCGCCTAAATGTCAACAAATGGCTGCTTGAGAATCTGCACCCCGTGCCACGTCTTTGAAGTTTGGGGTCTGGGCCTTGGGCTGCTTATCCGGCGGGATCCATTTGCCTAATGCCCCGCAACAATTTCGCAGCCGTCTTTCTATGTGCACGCGCTCTCTGTCACACTCACGAGTACATTTCAAATGTCTTTCAGTTGTCATAACAAACTTTGGGGAGCGGACGGGGAATTTGTTCATCTTTTTTTGCTGGGGCGCATTAGCTGTCTTAAGTCTTGGGTTTCAGGCGCCATGAATTGACAATAAGCGGCATAAATTTTAAAATTTCATTTTTATCGCATTACAATTTTCTCAACAGTTTTTTATGCCTCTTCATATTTTTGTATATATATTTTTAAGCCACGTTTAAGTAAGATGCTTGAGTGGCATTATTGACTTCTGAGTTGATAAAGTGCCATAAATGTCACCCCATTAAAAGAGACAACAACAACCACAACAAGAGCAGCAGCAGCAGCAGGAGAGGTTGAAACAACATCAACAACGACAACGGCAGAAGGCAAAAACATTGCAAAGGTAAAGGTAAAAAGCGCGTTGAGTTACCGGCTCCTGGGGGTTGGTTGCCAGGATAATGCGCCTCAACTCAATTGGGAATTTTAAAAGTAAAGTTGAATTTCATGTTTGGCTGCGGCAATTGTCACAGATGGTTTAATTGAAGTAATTACATACGAAATCCGTCAGGATTTGCCCGCGCCAGCGCCCTTCAAATGATGACACTTTTTGCTTATTATTTTATTATTACTTACTAAGCCAACATTAGCAAGCGCGGGTGACGAGGGGGGAGGCGGTGTCGCTGGCTTTCCCCTCGGAAAGGGTTAATGGCGTTGTTTGACTTTTGTTTTTGCTCCATTGCAGTCCGCAACGAGGAGCGCTTTCCGCTCTTCTAATGCTAATGAGCTAATGACTGCTGCGTGTAATTACCGACCGCCGAAAAGGTGTCATAATTATTTATGGCCGTATCTTACATTTTAATATTATTATTTTAAATACAAACATTTTTGCATATTTTTGTCCCTTATTTCATATTTCATGTTGCAGACCGAGTTTAACCGGTTCCCCAATCACTGTCCAAGTGGAAGCTGCTTATCTCAGCTCTTATTGAAGTGAACATGCTACATATGCTACACATGATATACACACGGCTCTGTTGCAATACTGACTCATGGCCAGAGCTATCTATTAATATATATAATTTTGGCCATGTTTGGTTAGCGTGCAGCTGTTCAAATATGATTATTATTAATATAGATACTTATACGAAAATTGCTATAAAAAGCCTTTCATCGAAGGTAGCAATCAGAATTGCTTAACTACCTTATTGTCAACAAGATCTTCGGAATGTTTCGTGTACTATTCACACTGACAGTCGCATTTTATGTAGTGGACGCCACTATCATAGTAAAGCCGCCTCCTGTTCCTGACCAGTGTAATATTTATGAAAAAAATTTGTGTTGGGTACTTGACAATTGCGTTTGTCGTCCGATCCAAAATCCTTGTCTTAGGGATGCTGAGAGCAAATTAAGAATCAAGAATTGTAAAAAACGTAAGTGTTCTACAATTTTCAAACTTCTATTGACTTAATGGACTATCAAATGGCTTTAGCACTTGTGCCCATTTCGGAGGAACTTTGCAAGTATTTTATTCCTAAGCTATGCATCCTCGGAAAGCCCGTGACAGCGACTTTACTTGTGCGTCCAGCATGTGGCTGCAAGAGTAAGCCTGATGTTTTGAAAGTGCAGAAATTTGACAACTTTTGCAAGCTGCAAAAATATTCAGCCGAAAACAAAATACGTAAGTTTAAGTTCCAAAATTATGTTCATAAATTAACTTTAAATATTTTGTTTTTTTTAGCTTACATTAACTACAAAGCATCTTGTCTTTTCTGAGTGAAAAATATAAAATTTGTTGACTAATATTTGTTTTCAATAAAGTTTTATCGCGTGCAATAGTAAATTGTATAAATTTTGTTAATTCTTGTTATTATCATATTCAGATTATCACAAAAAATAATTAATACTATTATATTTGATTTCAATAAAATTATATTGTTTTATTAAATATTGTTTATTCTTGTTATTATCGTACTCAAATTATCATTAAAAATCATTATTAGAAAAAGATTAGGTTTGCATAAAAATCTATAATTATTGTTACTGATCATAATATGCTATAAAACGAATCAACAACAAACAATTTTCGTAGTCGCAATTAAATTAAAATTATTATTTATTGGTCTTCTAACAAACCTTTGATCTATAACTGTTCAATGTAACAGCTTATATAGCGTATATATATAAAGCAAAAGTAGCCATGCGAGGGGATTAGTCATAATCATATAAAATATATTAATATCTCATATTAAGCAAACGTCTGCGACTTTTCGAGCGCCTGAATAACATTTATATAACCAAAGTCATTAATAAGGTCATCCACATATCGATATATTTAAATACATTTAATAATAATTTAAATACAATAATTGTTTTTTAAGGCACTCGGTTAATGGGACCTTTTTTTGGTGCAACAATATTAATGCTAATCATATATATTATTATAGATAATAGCAAATGAAAACTCTGAGCAAACTGCACAATACTTGTTTGTGGTCCAGCTGGCATTGTCAGCAATTGTTTATATTCCAATTCTGTATTAAATTTTAGTTCAAAACTGTAAAATGCCTTGCCATTTTTTTTCTATAAATATATATGCAAAACAGTTGGAAAGCATAATTTTTAATATCTCATAATACATCGGCTTAAACAATTGCTTGCCGGTCTTCACCTATAAAAAGACATTCAACTGCTGCAGACTCAAACAGTATCAATTCATTCGTATCAGTAGCATCTGCTCCCGATCGCAATGTTCAATTTAAAACTCTTGATTCTCTTCGCCGTCATCCTCTGTGCGGCACAGGAATGTGTGCTCGGTGAGTCTGACGTGGATGAAGGCATCGATGCTGCCGATATTGGACATGGACCAGGCTGCAGTTGCTCCAGATGCAGTTGCGGCAGATGCGCCTGCGATTGCGGCGACTGAGCTTAACAATAGTCAAAACTAAAATCTGTCAATATTTGCAGAGCAGAAAATTGTTTGCCCAGAAAATGTTAATTATTTGCAAATTGTTTTGTCTTCATTAAAATTGTTGTAGCCTTTGAATCTAAGTGTTTTCTTTCACCAATCTCCTTCTGTAGCCCCAGTTGTTCATCTTAGGAGGTGGGAACGATGAAAAACAAATAAGAAAGAGTCTAAGCGCTCTCAACACGAAAATGTTCGAATATATGATCTTATCCGTTTTACCCTGAAAAACGAGAGGCTGCTCCTGTATTGCAGACGCACTATGAAAACATCGTTTTTTAATAACTCAATCCATTTCCATATTATTAAGCATTCCAAAACCATCAACGCCTACTGGAAAGTGAGGAATTGGCTTCAGCTTCAAGTCGCTTCAGTATTTTTTTTTTTTTTCAAAATAACACTTCAGATAACGTATCGATGAGACGTCAAAATTTGTTTTAAAAAATAGTTTTTTTTATCAGAATATACGGCGTTATTTGGATTTACCTTTAAAGAAAATTATGCCATTCAGTCGAACGTTGAGTTTTGAGGAGCTACAAGAGTTGAATAAATGGCTGTCTTCAATGCAAATAAAGCTGGACAATCGCACACGACGCGAGCTCTCGGATGTCGTACACATGGCTAAACTAGTTAAGAAGTTTAATTCCAAGCTGATAGACATGTACAGCTACACCTCGCGCAACAGCCTAGCCTTAAAGATAGAAAACTGGGAGATCTTTAACTTTAAAGTGCTGCGCAAATTAGGCCTAAGATTGTCTTCTGACGACTTGACGCAGCTTGCATCGGGCAGTCTGACTTCTTTAAAGTGCCTGCTTTATCATCTGATGAAATCGGATCGAAGAGAATTATTGCAAAAAAGAACATTGAAGACACAATCATACTCGGTGGAAGGCCAGAAGCTTTCCGATAGCTTATCTCTGAGCGAGAAAAGTGTGATAGAACAGCAATCAAAAGAAGACCTCCAGCACGAGTTGACACCTAAAGATAGCAAAGCGGACGTGCCGTATGCTAAATATAAACAATTGGTCCGGGAGAATTACAAGAAGAAAAAATATCTTAGCTCAATAGCCCACAAGACTAAGTATCTGCAGAGCCTTATCCTGGTAAAAGAGGAGCGCATCAATTATCTTCTGGAACAGCTGGCCGCACTTTCCACATAATCAGAGACTGCAAACTGACTCCAAACCGATGTCCGGACGTTTAGCAGCAGAGCAATAGGTGTTCCATTAGTCAGTAAGCCAACAAAAGCAATTCCAAGGCATTTTGTACTGGTTGGATCCAATAACTTATTTGTGCATTGCTAGATGCTTGGATGCTAATACTTTGAACATTCATTTGTATGTATCGAATGTATCTACGCAACTTCCAAGCAATCAAGCAACTTTTACAATGATTCAATTTACGGCGTCAGAACCAGAATGTCGTGTTATATTAAAAAATACAGTGGTAAATTTTGGTTTTTGGACGGATTAAACGTATTATTTTATTTAATATTATTGGCGAATTTCTCTTATGCTTTTGTAAAAATTGCAGGCTTCGATTAATAATGTTCACATGAAATCACAAAAAGTTAGGACGTTGTTTTTAGCAATTTTGAGAACTTCTCGGTTTTTCATCAGCAGACTTTATTACCAACTACAGATGTCTTCTCCTAACCCAACTGCTTGAGAGTTTTTTGGTTTTTGCACAGAATGAAGTAAGTGGCATAGCGGGTTACTGCCAGATCATCCATCTTTGTAAATGTGTAATTTGTAATTATGATAATTTATTTAAATTAGTAGCTAGCCAATTTCGTATTAAAAGATTCAAATTTATGTAAGCAAGCAATGTTCTTGGGTTTTTTCAACGAAATCGTAGTTATCGAATTGGGATCTTCTTGATTTAAGTCTTTAGTAGAGCTTCAAGAAAATTACTATTATTATTATTATTATATATTATTAATGTTACTGCAAGCCTTGTTACGTTCATAAAATGGGAACTGCCTATTCAGAGAGCATCTTTCCGTAGTCCTTCACGCTCATTGCTGTCATTAATTATGATAAGGTATAAGGATAACGTGTCAACATAGTGAACAGTGTTCAACTATACCCTAAGTTGTGCGAATATTAAATAAGGTCGTTTTTCTCAGCTCGTTGATGTAAGTGAATCGTGCCTTCCAAGGTGAAGTTTTGAGGTTTGGGTAACTGCAGTATGGCTCTAATTTGAGATAGAACCCAACATTAAAAATCCAAAAATTGAATTTCTCTCAACATCAAAGCTCAGCGTAGTAATGTCGAGAATTGTAGCTAGTATATAAATACTACCTGTATCTTGTAACGAACGTTCGGCATATTCCGAATTCAAACAGGCAGAGTCGGCTGTATGTGCGTGTCAAGGTAAAGTAAATAAATTCGTCTTCTTACTGCACAGTAAACAGACGGACAGACTCTTTTCGATTCGTGAACGAGTATTAAAATCATCCGACGAGAAAAACGTAAGTTAAAGTGTATTTTATTAATTTTTAGTAACAATATCTGTTTTGTGTATTTACTCAATTCAATTTATTATGAAGTCATCCCTCAGAAAGTGAATTAGTCATAATCAACTGTCACAGCTAAGATCTATTAATATTAAGTAAACACCTGAAACTTATCGAGCTAACACTGCACCTGAATAATATTTGTATAAACAAACTCAATGTTAAGGTCAGACACGCTTAAATGTTGTTGATTAATTTTAAATATATATATATATATATGAACTTAAATATTTTTATGATATGCTTTAAGATATATTTAATTATATTTTCAAAATGTTAATATCATTAGCTGTTTCTAGCTGTTACTAACTGCCTTCCTTCAAGTCTTAATGTATTAATCGAGGCCGAACATGAGTGAAACTTGTAAATTTCGAGTCTCTTGCTTTAAAAATTGCTGAAACATGCAATTTATACTATTTATAAAATATTTACTGTAAATAATGTAAATACAAAACGAAATGTTTCTATTCTTGGAAAGCTGCATCGTCTATTTGATTAATTTTAAGAAAAATAATAATTACAAAAATATCTCATAATACATCTGCTCAAACAATTGCTTATCCCGGTCTTCACCTATAAAAAGACATTCAACTGCTGCAGACTCAAACAGTATCAATTCATTCGTATCAGTAGCATCTGCTCCCGATCGCAATGTTCAATTTAAAACTCTTGATTCTCTTCGCCGTCATCCTCTGTGCGGCACAGGAATGTGTGCTCGGTGAGTCTGACGTGGATGAAGGCATCGATGCTGCCGATATTGGACATGGACCAGGCTGCAGTTGCTCCAGATGCAGTTGCGGCAGATGCGCCTGCGATTGCGGCGACTAAGTTTAACAATAAAACTAATGGTAAGCACTTGACAAATGAATACGAACAGAATCCTAAAATCTTTCAATGTTTGCAGAGCAGAGAAATGTCGAACCAGAAAATGTTAATTATTTGCAAATTGTTTTGTCGTTATCATTAAAATTGTTGTAGCCTTTGAATCTAAGTGTTTTCTTTCAACAATCCCTTGCTCGCCACAGCGTTCTTAATGCAGTGCTTTGTGCGCTCAATTGTGAAGCTTTTGATGCTTCAATTCACAGAGAATCATTTTCATTGCATTGATCACTTGTTTATTCATATCCATTCATTCGTTGGCAAAGTAATTTCTTTGCTCTTTATGCTCCACGCTTTCTTGACTTCGCAGCGACAATCAGAAACAAAGCAAAAGTAATCATCTCCTACACCTTCTTTTGCCTCGGCTCTGGAGCTGTGTTTTTCTTTGAATATCCTATGGAAGAAAACATGTGTGGGTATATTGAGCTTTATATTTGTTATGAAACATAGATGTTTGAATTTGAAAAAAATATTAAGAAATTTAATATAATGAATATATAATATAATATAATGAATGACAGAGTTCCTTAGAAATTTCTGATGGAATATTATCTAAAGACCTTTGAGGTTAAGTGAGGGACAGTGAATAGAAAATACTATAAAAATGGTTGGTATCATTGTTTGACATGAATTGAAGACTATTCCTTCTTAACTATCCTTTTCACGATTGGAGACACTTTTGACTGACTACAGGGGATATTGTGAGTGTCGCCACAGGACATGTGGCGTCTCCACCTAATAACCTTAAAAGCCTTATCGAGTCATTTAATATAAAAACAAGCAATTAAAATGATGAATATGCAATAAATGTGTATACACACATTAAAAGGGACAATTCTCTGGCCCTGCTACCCATTCATACATTTTATATGCTAATGAGGAGAACATTTTTTATCTAAAAAGCAAAAAAATGCGGACACACATTTGCCTAATGAAAATAGCGCCATTAAAATGAGAAAAACAACTTTAGATACCGAAATTCGAAACACGCCGAGTTTTGGCAATTAAAACGCTGGGAGCATAAGGTCCTGTCAACCTTCCACTCGTGCCGTTGCGTCCCGCTGGCTTCGACTGTCTATATATGTGGACAGAGCGGGTGCATGTGTGTATATATGTGTGTGTATCTGGCAACGATCGCCTAGCAAATTAGAGATTAACACGCATGTGTCATCCTTCTTTGTGTATTTCAGTTCATTGACCGCTACGCGGCAATAAAACTACGTAAATTTCCAAAATTTTAACTGAGTGCCAAACTTGTGGCCGGTTTTATAACTTTACGAATTAGAGCAATTTGATGAAACTATAAAACTGTCAAATCGCACAAATGTGCCGACTATGCCCAGGAAAACTTGCTGGCGCGTGCTCAAAAAAGAGAAAACATAGGTAGATAAGCCGAGGAGGGGCTACCCCTGGCCGTGTTCAATAAGCTATGACGAGCGCAAGCCACGCACATTAGAAGTGCAGCTAGTCAAAAGTGAGGGAGGGAGAGAAAAAAGGTGCAGGAGAATTAAATGCACTCTCAGGTGTAGACTAAGGGAGAGAACCCAGAGAAGAGAGAGGGACGCCTTCAGCTGGGTGTGTTGCATCTCCCAATGCCAACATATTAATTAAGCTGCCCACGAGCCTATGCGCCTGTCAGTTTGTCAGTCTGTCAGCCAACCCGCTGTCAGCTGGAGGTCAACTTCGGTCAGTAACTTAATTATGTTACAAGCTCCGCGCTTCCATTATGATATATAATTAAGTTTCATTATGTTTTGCATTTTTAACTTATTTATTTGTTTTTCGTACTGCATCCATTTAATTTGATAATTGCAATTACGTGCGCAGTCAGCGGCAATATGAAGCAGCGCATGCCCCTCGTTTACATAACTGATGGGTTAATTGGCTTTTAATTTGTGGCAAATTAGCTGGTATCCCATTTAACGGGCATATTATGTGTCTATGAGATACATAAATACATATGTAATTGGTAAAGTAGTTGAGTCAACAGCAATTATGTTTCACTTGGGCATTGAAACTGCAACCTTGTTGCACAAACTCCTTAAGGCGATCGCACAGAATAGAAAATTAAGAATATCCACTATATATAATTATATAATGGATATTCCTAATTCCTATAAATTTATATAAAAATCTTGGTTTGTGTACTTTTGAAGATATATATATATATATATATATATATATATATATATATATATCAGAATGTACATATCAATATATCTGAATTGATTCGTACTTGCTATATATATATCCTGATTTTGCAGTCTATAGACTGTCCTTTCTTAATAAATGCATGTCCATTACTTAACTAACGTAATATCTATTTAGTTGACAGCGTGTCAATTGTTGAAATCAGAGCACCAAATTAGCATCGTTTCGGGCAAATGTCCCTTGGCTACCGCCTGAGCCAAATAAAATCGTTGAGTGGCATTGAGTGAAATAAAATTGATTGATGACTCAGCTTGTATGTATATATATCTAACACTTTGATAGATTGCTGTGATTCTGTGCTCGCATTGGCTCTGGCGGGCGGTTGGGTTGACGGGTGCCTGCTAAATCCAAGCAGCAGGCAAAGTGTCAAAGTGTAATAAGGCCCGCGTTAAGGCCAACAATGCCAAAAACATTATCATTATCAATCTCATGCTTGTCCTCATTGCCATCATCAGCGGGCCATGGAAAGGGGTGCGGCGACTCTGGCTTGCGGCCTATGCCCAAAATGAGATACAAATGTAGCGCTCCATGTAAATGCTCAAAATTTGCTGT